CCCGTGTGTGTGTGTGCTTGTGCCACTGGCATTGCCAACACGCCGGCTTGCTTGGCCCAATGTGGTGAAAAGAACGAGAGGTGAATGTAGGAGTTCATGCGATTTGGGGCCGCGGGCGCGCTCGTTTGGCATCGGCTGCTTGGAGCATCCAGCTTTGGAATTTCTGAAGGAAACGGTAAAACTTGTGATATACAAATATACATATATGCATATAGAGAGAGAGATAGAGATGCAGTATATGTTTTCAGTTATGTCTTCATGTTTGCCGGTGTCCAGAGCAAGCTGGTGCCAGCATGATAGAAAATAGGTGGGATGAATCAAACAATTGAATAACTGAAGCATGGATTGATACATATACTATGTTAGGAGGAAATCCAAAATATGTACGTCCAGATTGGGAAAAGAATTGCCTGAATTTATACAAAAAAGAAGGTTGCCAGCCATGTTAACCATGGCCACATTGAGCTTGCCAAGCTGTCATGAGGTAAACCACCGTGGCCATGGCAAGCTCGAACCAAGACCTCTACAATCTAAGTGCCTTGGCTTGTCTCCTGCAATCCGTTGTGCCAGATGTGGATGCAGCTTATCTAGGCTCCAAGGTTTGAAGGGAAGAACCAAAACGTTATGAACAGAAATTAATGCAGTGCATGATGCCATGCATGATGCATTGTTTCGTGTGGTAGGACTGCTCGCAAAGAGCTTGGAGTCTATGCTCCTTTTGTGGGAGCAACATGTCAATGCTCTTCCAGCCGATGATAGCGAGCCTACATCGCGTCTTCGCAGTACTGCGAAAGCGTCTTGGATTGCAAACGCAGTGTGAACATAATGTTTCCAGAAACGGGCAACCAATGACAACGACACACAAGGTTTTACTCTGTGACACTAGATGGCACTAGTCACTAGTTTGCTTTGGCTAGACCTCCAAGCATTTGTTTGACCCACCAAGGATGCAAGAAGTTCTGTGGCAAACATTGTTGAAGTTTCCCAGATGCTGACTCCTGACCATGATGGTCAATTTCCAGCATTCAAGTCACAAGCGCCGTTGCTGCAATATGGTTTCGGTTCACAGATTGCATTTGGCTGTGAAGACCCACTATGTTGGCTTGACCAAGCTTGTTCTTTGCACTGTTGGTCCTGCACAGATCGCCAAGGGCGCAGAGCTAGCACACCGCCGGGATCTTAGTCAATGACAGAGCCAGAGGCTTCCTTTTTGTACTTTCGCTGCCGATGGCCATGCATGCATGGCATGAAGAAAAAGACAAACTACGTTGCAATTCGCCAAAAATCATAATTAGATAAAGACTTTGAGCCATTGACACCTCCTTGCCACCAGACAGACCAAACAGCTAGGTGCATGAGCGGAGGCAGACACACACACATATACATATATATATATAGGTATGTATGTATATATATATAGCACATTTACATCCATATACACACTTTGTTTATTATTATTGTTTGTCATCACTTAAAGATACTCCGAAGCAACGAACGCAAACGTACACAAACACACATTCATATTCTATCAGGGACTCACGTGCAAGCAGCCACATTGAAGAACGGACCCACACCTGGTTTCCAAAATAAGACGGCAACTGCCCCCACATGCATATAAAGAGCTGGCTTCGTGCAACGAAAACGCACTCCAGCCCGGCGATCTGAATTGCAACTATCAAACGATCTGTAGTTGACCAGCGCACACAGACACACAGAGGGAGACGATGGCAATCTAAAGTCATGGAATGGAAAGCCCTTGCTTTTACACATACAGCACTTGATCCCTCTAAAAGTTTACTTGCCACGAGGCTTGCCGATAGACGAATTCAGTGTCTTGAAAAGCACAAGTTGTCTCCGGCTTCGGTATTACAGTTACTGGAAGTGCTCTTGCAAAAGCATTACCAAGTGTCTTGGGTAGTGACGTTGAAGGGCCGAGAGCTCTGTCCTACCTTAGATTTCTTGTGCGTAGCAACCGGGTCTGCATCAATCCGAACAGATTCTGCCAGCTTTTCGGCCCTGCTACACCACATGTTATTTTAACTGTCATTATTTTGTGGAGGGGCGTGAGAGGCACGGGGTTGGCTTCAGGTGCAGCACCACGTGCGTCCGTGTCAGTTGCGGCATTTCACGAAGATGAAGCAAGCCTTCATAAATCCAAGCTGCTTGGCCAGGCCAAAATCTTCGATTTCGGCAAATTGAGCATGTTGAGCTCAGACACCATAGGTTCCTGTCTTCGAGATGGATACCTATATACCTACCAAATTACCAAATATTGTTATAACATACGCTGATTCAGTAAATTTGCCATCACCATAGATTTGCTCATGAGCAGCCCAAGGAGCGTGATCCTGGATTCACCACCCTCACTAGAGCTAGAGGAGGAAGAGTTGGCGGCACCTTGTCTTCTCAAAGCGTTTGATTGGCGTGTGTATTCTGTACTCAGTGGCGCAGGCCACTGAGAGCTCAGGTGGTTGAGGAAGACACGCCTCGTGGACCTAGCTGGCTGTCAAAGTACGTCATTTTTCCTGGCTGGACCTCGAAGCTCATTTGGGACCTGGCAGTGATGACCATTGTTCTCATGGATGCCTTTGTCCTTCCAGTCCAGCTCTCATTCAAGCGAGACTACGGAGAGGATGCCTTTGATGATGCATGGTTTTGGGTGACGACACTCTGCTTCAGTGCCGATATCCTTGTCACTTTTGACACTGGCTTGACAGTTGCAGGTGCTGAGCTTAGTGAGGGCTTAGTGACTTAAGGCAGCTTTACGTGCTGCGCCAGTGCTACGCTAGCAGGGCCAACCATCATTGTGGCCTTGGGGTTGGCACTGAGGTGATGATCAGGACATCATCACGGACCATGGGATAATTGCGAGGGCATATCTACGTGGCTGGTTTAGCCTGGATTTTCTTAGCACGATGCCGTGGAGCCGTATGGTTGATGCTGCCGTAGGGTCAGATGAGGGTGGTGGCGCACTCCTCCATGTAGCCAAGCTTGCAAAGACACTTGGACAGAACAGAGGTATACAGAGGTAACATCATGTCACAGGCTGCCATACTTGACATTTGTCAAATTCGCCCACCGACCCTCTGACTTGAAACAAGCCAATTGGAATCGTTGTGTCAGCTTGCCACACCTAGGATGCTGAAATTTCTTCGCAACTTGACATGAACACTCCTTGGCGAGCCTCCCAGAGAGGGACTGCCCCTGCATTGCCTTGCTTTTTGCCATGCTTTTCATTTCCCCTTTTCAAGGCATCATTCGCTTGATGAAGATGCTCCGTGCAAAGAAGATCCGGGATATTTGGGAGCGAGTAGAAATTAGAGCCTTGCCACTCTTGGGTATCTAATTTCGCTGTTGCTGTTGTATATACTGTAATTGAACAGCGCGAACATGTTTGATCGAATACTGAGGAATTGGATCTGTGACTGTCATTCAGGCAATGTACTTGGTGCGAGTCCTGCTTGTTATAGTCGCCTGGCATGCAGTCAGAGCTGTGAAGTCCTCAGTCCATATTGTTCCAAGTTTCTTGCAGTTGGAGTCGCTTGTAAACTCATTGCCCAACAAGCCATGGAAGATGCTTTTTTGAGGTAGCAATCTGCCATTGGAATGCTTGTGACTTGTCGGCCATGTGAGACGGTCATGGCTGCTCACAGATGAGGAAGCAGAATCACATGCTCAGGAGAGATGACGGAATCCCTGCGTCAGACTGCACGAAACTACCAGAACTGCCTTCAAAGACCCGCTTCAAGATTTGCTGATTACACTTCACCACATCAAAAAAAACAAACAAAAACACAACAGCGCACACCGCAATTTTGCAAAAAACATGGACCTTACACCATATCACCACACTACACTTCACCATATCACAGATCAAGTGAGCGCACGCTTTAGTCTATAGATATATTTCAGATAAGAAGTCACTCCATGGTATTTTTTGCATTAAAGCCCAGGGAGGCCGTACGAGTAGGCTAGTAAGCTAGTTTCTAGTAGAGGTAGCTATGAGTATCCTGGACACAGAAGCCTGAGCCTTAATGATTTGGCTCCTAGATATTTTTGGGTGGAAACTTAAAACCCCACTTCACCACTTCACGAGCATCATGTCAACATATCTCAGCCCATCAAATCATGACGCCACAGTATCATCGTCATCACTCACCACAACAGCCACCGACCACATCTTTGTTTTGAAAAGTTCCGCCCACCGGCCCTGCCAGGGACTCATCCTAATTTGCCCACAAGGTGAGTTTTTGAAAAGTATTATGTGGGTCACCCAAGTAAACCACAATGATTTTCTGGGGGCGAGTCATCATGTTTTACTTTGTTTCAGTTCTGTCAGCCTCTCGAACATCCAAGGCATTTTTTGGATGGTAGGCTCGGGTAGTACTTGGATCTTCCATGTTATATTTGTTGCGGGCTCAACTATCCAAACCCTTCTATGGCGTTGCCAGGCCGACCGGACAGCATCATCACTGACTTTATGCCCACAGAAACCAGAGAGACCTTTGAGAAGTTGCCGCATTGGACTACCATCCTGCACACCTATGGCAAGTATCAGGTGGGCCTGATAGAACTTGAGCCCACAAAATCTTTTGGTAGCATTTTGTCAAGTCCAGCATGCTTGTTCGTTGAAGCTCCACAACCAATTCGTTAATGGATCGTCCAAAAGCAGGTGGCATCTATGGGCAATGCAGCCTATGATGTGGTAGAGGAGGAATGGACATATGCCCAGAAGCCCTTTTCTGACTCTCGACCTTATCGGACAAGCGATCCGAAGGGGGTCAACCAGCAGCTTCTAGTTACAAGGGATTCTAGCTACTAGTAGCGATGCCCTTGTTACTAAGTGCCCCTGCTCTTGAGAATTTCAAGTTGTGCTTTTTCTTCATCTGGTGACCGACTCACGTCATGCCAGACTTTGTCATTGCGACGAACACGAAATGCTCCTCTTCCGGCTTGGCCTTCGTTTCCTCTGCCCACTCGTGACTCCTAAGGATGTTTACATCTTTTGCTTCTATTGGACATTGGGAGTAATGCGGACCATGCCGTCTGAAGTGCAGCCAGTGAACTTGGCAGAGCGCACCTAGACTTAGTCATGGAGTTCCAACAGGGCTTTGATTGATAGAGGTGGGTGCGGATGTTGCTGCAGGTGTGCCAAACACAATTGACTATGAGGCATGAGAAAGCATGCTTTGCGTGCCAAGGTACCTTTGTCCTTTGCTTCATGTTTTTCGCGCTGCCACCAGACTGATCTAATCTAGCACGACTTACCCTCAACCACCAACCCTAACAACTATTATATACATATAACTATACATGTCACGTCCATTTGCCTAGCTATCTTTCTCTCGCGTGCATGGTACCAGCGCTGCTCGTGGCTCTCAGGTCAGCATTTGCTGTATCGGTTGCATCACTGACACAGACCTACTTCAAGATCAGTGAACGCAATCGCGGCTTCAGGGACGAGATGTTTGCCCTACGCATGTGACATGGCAAAACCACAGACCACCAGTGGGTGTGTGCAGTATAGGCAGGAAGGCTTTCTGCAGCTGTGCGGGGGTTTTGAACGGAACATTTTGACTATGTGCTCCCCCAGGTGACAGTCGAACCCCCACATAAACTGAAAGTGCAACCAAGGCACATGCACAAGCTGAAGCTAGACGACGTGTCCCAACGAAAGATCAAGGACGACTGCTCCCACAGAGAAAGAGCGATGTTACAGTTGTTCGCTTGGCTAGTCTTTCGGTCAAGAGCATGACTGCGTGATCCAGAGATATGATAAGCTCTTGAGATTCTTGCTCGGCCCAGCCAGCCCAGAAGCAGAGCACTGCTAAGAGTGCTTTTGTGTGTGAAGGGCTTTGCTGGCCCGTGCCCTTGCAATCGCAATACCAAAGTGACTCAAAGCCCTTCTGCTTGTTTGGTGCATGCCATTGCCCCGACGCCATAGATCTTGAAGGATAGAGAGGATAACAGCATATAAACACCAGCAGCTTGTAAAATCAAACTGTAGCTGCGCAAGCGGATGCATGGCTTCTCTGTGAGAGTATCTTCCATGCAGATCTGACCACTGTTGTCTTAGGGCTGTAACGCTCTGCCATTGGGTGGGCAATTGTTACTCAGGTAATGGCTTGAAACATGAAACTTGCCGTGGGCCTTGGGAGGAGTCAAATGGGCTGTCGAGTCATGGGTAATGAAGAGTTTGAGATTCAAGCCATGATGTCCGAGAGGCTTGACATGGGCAGACCTGGACCTGAAGATCCTTGACTTGGAAGGGAGGGCCATTTAATTTAGTTTTTTTTTTTTTAAAGGAATTTTTGTTGTTTTTCGTGGCTTCTGTGGCTTCTGTGGCTTTCGTGGCTTCTGTGGCTTCTGTGGCTTTCGTGGCTTCTGTGGCTTCCGTGGCTTCGTGGCTTTCGTGGCTTCTGTGGCTTTTGGCTTTTGTGGCTTTCGTGGCTTCTGTGGCTTCTGTGGCTTCGTGGCTTTCGTGGCTTTCGTGGTTTCTGTGGCTTCTGTGGCTTTCGGCTTTTGTGGCTTTCGTGGCTTCTGTGGCTTTCGTGGCTTTTGTGGCTTTTGGCTTTTGTGGCTGTTTGCTACTAGTCCATATTTGTCTATATCTATCCGTCTATATCTATCTGTTTGTTTGTCTATCTGTCTGTTGTGTTGTGCTGCGCTTTTCCTTTTATTCGCTTTGCAGAGAAGAACCCAAACAAGGAAGCAAGCAAGCAAGCAAGCAAGAGCTGCTCACCTTTGGATCTGGTGTGCTGCTGGGGGGGGCGCTGCGCCCCCCCCCACCCCCCCCGCCCCACGAAATCTGCACTTCATCTCCGCCACCCGCGCCTGCCACGAAACCTTTCTCTTTGCTTTTCTGCTAACTGCACCAAACTGTTGTGATAGTCTGACACCTACACTATTCCAATGCAAATCTGTCTACCTATCCATTTGTCTGTCTATATCTATTTATCTACCTCTCGATCTATCTATCTTTCTTTCTTTCCTATCTATCTACCTATCTATCTGCACTTCAACATCCACAAAGTCCTTCACCTGCCACGAAATCGAAATCGGCACTTCAAGGCCCGCAAAGCACTGCACCTGCCACGAAATCTGCACTTCAAGGTCTACAAAGTCCTGCGCCTGCCACGAAATCTGCACTCCAAGCCCCACAAAGTCCTGCACCTGCCACCAAGTCTGCACTTCAACATCCACAAAGTCCTGCACCTGCCACGAAATCCGCACTTCAACATCGACAAAGTCCTGCGCCTGC